TTAGGGCTTAGGGTTTAGGGAAGAGGAGGAAGGAGGGTAGGAGTATAGCAAGCGTGGTATCTGTAGCCTGCTGGTAGTCGCACCGTCGTCTTTGCGGCGATACCGGGGAAGTACCGTACTGGTCGTGAGTGCTGCTTGTGCTGCTGCGGTTATTGCTCATGCAGCTTAGGTTACAAGTTAAGGGTCTAACGTATTTCTAGTGAAACAGTTTCCGGAACCGTCCTGCTTCTCGCTGTTCGCGTTGGTTGCAAGGTTGCTGTGACAACTGCTGGTAATGGAAGCCGCCTACCTTAAGTCCAACCGCCTCAAAACCCAAAAGGCTCGAGCTCGAACCCCAAACCCGAAAAGATCTTCAGACTAAGCCGACTGTCGTCACGCTGTAGTCACTAGTTGCTACAGACAGTACGATTGAACCTCCCGCCAGTGCTTGTTCTTCTTGATTCTTTCAGCAATCATGAGAGCAGAACGATACAACTACCAATCATTGTACTTGGTCTTGCTGATTATCAATAAGCCCTTTAGGTTTATGGTACTGTGTATGTTACTTGTTGTATGGATTATATTGGGTCTGTGCGGGGCTATTCGACATCTATATAATAAGAACCATCGCAACAAGCAATAAGAAAATAGATGACAATGAGACTGGTAATCATCAGCATAGTCCAAACTGGTAATGCATAATCCTAGTCAAACCAACCCTAAACCCTAAACCCCTAAACCCCTAAACCCCTAAACCCTAAACCCTAAACCCCTAAACCCTAAACTCCTAAACCCCTAAACAGAGTGGTCAAGGAAGCTGCAGCTCCTCCGTGTCTTTGGCAGCCAAGAGGTTCCACTGCAAGTCGCTGACGGGATCTGTGCCCTGCAACGAACCGAACTGTCAGGCTTCAGAAGAAGAGTCGTTGGGGTTAGGGTTTTAGGCTTTAGGGTCTTCGGCTCTTTCTTGGGGTTTGGGGTTTACGGATTTTTTGGGGTTTAGGATTTTAGGGTTTAGCGTTTTCGGGTTCTTTGTTTAACTCAATAGCCCCTCCGCACGAGACTCGCCCAATTTGGGTGTGCACTGTGAATGGGGTTTTTAGGGTTTAGGGGAGGCTTTGTAGATTGGGTTTAGGGCTTAAGCATTGGGTTTTAGGGGTTGAGAAGCTGGAGATTTGTGGGGCAGCGTTCGAGGGCGCACAGTTGAGTGTTTTGGGTGCAGGGTCCCAGGGCCGGATGGTCATTGGCTCCCAGCATCCGCACCAAACCCTCTCGACTCGGGCTCGCTTCAGCCTCTTTAAAAGCGGCGAGGGTGTTCCACTCACCTGACCGACCTGGTCATGGCTTTTAAATACAAAGAAGCATTAAAACAAGTATATATTATCTGTTATATAAACACAAAGAGAGACAGAGAGAGGAGGAGATGGGTATTTAGAGCTCGGGGTTTGGGGGGGCTCTCGAACCATCACCTATGGGCACGGCACCTGCCGTACAGCTGCTGCCTCGTCGATGGCTTGAGCCTCTCGAGCACACGCAGCTTCCCCAATACTCAACACCTTAGAAGCGCAACACCTCAGAATCATACTAAACTTCGTCCACCAACGAGATTATCAAGCTGGGGCTATGGGCGAAGTGATGAAATCTTGCGGGAGTAGAAGACCGTGATGGGAAAGGTGATGATCAGATCGACAGTTGCTTTCCTCACAGGTTAGGGTTTAGGGATTAGGGTTGCCCCTTGAAATAATGGGGCCGCTTTACTCAGACCAGCACATCAGATATGGAATTAGCCCTAACCCCCCAGGTACCTACTATATAGGGTACTAGAGCCCCTAGGGCCCAATATAGCCGGTACCTGGGAGGTGAGGGTAGGTCACCATGACTTGCAGGCGGAGGCCAGGGGGGTCGACCTATGTGGGCACATTCGCGGGGCAAATGGATAGAAGGAAAGACATGTGTGCATATCTATCTATCTATCTATCTATCTATCTATCTATTTATATATATTATGCACATGTGAATCTGTGTAGACATACACACATACATACATACATACATACATACGTACGTACGTACGTACGTACGCACATACATACATACATACATACATACATACATACATACATTATTTGTCTTACATACGCACAGAAACTTGTAGAAGTCAAACATTTCGTTTCTGGGTCAACGATGCTCCGGGTCGGGCCTCGGCATCGCGAGCGGTCTTCACCTTGTCATGGAGGGCTAGGCACAGCTGCTACTGCTGCTCCTCCTCCTCTTGCTGCTGCTGCTGCCGCTACTACTACTACTACTACTACTACTACTACTACTCCTGCTGCTGCTGCTGCTACTACTACTACGACGACGACGACTACTACTACTACCACCAGCTGCACCATCACCACCATCCACTACTGACTACCAGTACGACAATACGACAAAACGGCGACGACTTCACGACTGCTGATACTGCTCCTGCTCCTTGCCGGCACTCAAATCAATCCCCGTCTGAAGACTCCTAGATCCGTAAACATGACCCAAACCTGAACCAGGCGTTACGAGTACGGAATAGATGTGTGCCAGCCGCTGGCAAAAGAGCTTCTGCATGGAGGGATGGGCGCATGGCTCAGCACCTCTGAGTAAGGTGTCAGTACCGCGTAACGGTTGTAAACTCGCCTAGCTCCTACATTAGCAGAGTTCACATTAGGGCTATTGGAATTCGCTGGGTGGCCTCCACCTCGAGCCGGGCCACTTCCTCGGCAACGCGAGCCTCACTCGATCGGATCCAGGTTGAGACTGAGTTTTCGCGGTGTATAGAGGCTGAACTGGAAGGGCTAGTTTCGGGGTTTGGGCATTCGGGGCTTCGAGCGTCCGGTGATCCTGGTCGAGGGTTCAGGGTCCTGGATCGGTGCCCTCAAGAAAACACAACTCCATGAAGTGCGAAATCTGATGAGCTCCACGGCGATTCTCTGCGGTTGATGTGCGATGGCGGTCTTGGACCACAAGAACAGCGAACAAACACACTAATACCAGGACATGTAGAGATGTGTATGTCGCAAGTTGTGCCCGTGCGATAGATGTGTGGGTAGTGATGATGAGTAAAACGATATAGATGCATGGATACATCAGATAATCATCGAACCAGTCCCAAAACAACACCCCTCCCCGCCGACCTCGGCATCGCGTGCGCTCGTCACCTGGCCAGCAGGAAGCCATGAGACATTTCTACCCTCTGCCCCGATCCAGACAAAACCCTAGACCCTAAACCCTAAACCCGGAACCCTAAAAACCTATGATGACCAGTATCATGACTATCTGATCACAAGGGTTGTAAAGAGGAGTGAGTTCATTCTTTCTTTTGCGGAAGCAGGTGGTACGTAGATGCTTCATACGCATGTGAGCATCTACTTTCTATCCGGCATCGAGGGTGTCGACATTAGCATCCGAGCCCACCCAGTCACCCAGGTGCGTGTCCCAAGCATCACCTGCCTCCTTTTGCAGTTTCTCCACCTCAGTGGCCGCCAGTGCCTGCATAGCCGGGCTTGGGGGCAGTCGGGGCATCTTGCCACTTCGAAAAAAAGGATCATGGCTACTGACTCCTACCCCCTCTTAGTCTTTTCCCTACCACAGGAGTTGAGGCATCGAGATCGAGGCTTGTGGCATATTGACAACTTTTCGGGCTTCTCCGTGGCTCGGGGTCTCACCCCGACTTGGAGGTGCCCGCTTACCCGATCCTCCGCGTCGCGCGCAGAGGTCAGCTCGCGCTGGAGCTTGGCGGACTCATCTGCAGCGAGGGCCTGGGGCTTAGGGTTTAGGGCTTAGGGCTTATAGGGTTTAGGGTTTAGGGTTGAGGGTTTATAGGGTTTAGGGGGCGGAGTCGAAGCACGACTTTATCTGATGGCGATGATGGGCTTTACGAGAGATGCAGAGTACGAAATGGGTGTTGCACCTCTGAAAGGAATCGTGCACGAGACGGAAAAGCTTGTTGGGCTGCCAACCGTAACTAAAACCATAGATCCAGCCAGCAACCGAAGCCCTAAACCCTAAACCGCCTAAACCCATATGGGGGTTTTGTACCCTAAATAGTAGGTATACCCCTTATTTTCGGGATCTCCCATATATATATATATATACATATATATATATATATACACAGCCATCACCCTGTAGCCTCGGCGTCGCGAGCAGATGTAAGCTCTGCCCGCAGCTTGGCCGACTCCTCGTCAGCGGCCGCCTGCGATGACACCAGAAACTCCCCTGGGAGCGGAGAGAGAGAGAGAGAGGAATGGTATTAGGGTTTAGGGGTTTAGGGGTTTAGGGTTTAGGGGTTTAGGGGTTTAGGGGTTTAGGGGTTTAGGGGTTTAGGGGTTTAGGGTTTAGGGGTTTAGGGGTTTAGGGATACTTAGCATGTAACGTATGGCATTGAATATCTGGTATACCGTAGAGAGTATAACGATAGCAATACTACGACTGACGATAATGAGAAGAAGAATCATACTAGTATTAGCAATAATACTAGTAATAGCAATAACAATAATAATAATGATAATAATAATGATAATAATAATGATAATGATAATGATAATGATAATGATAATGATAATGATAATGATAACGATAACAATAATAATATACATACGTGTATGTATATATATATATAGAGAGAGAGAGAGAGAAAGAGAGAGAGAGAGAGAGAGAGAGACGTCCTTACTACTTACTGCAACGGGAACCCTAAAAGGTAGCCTTACTCATAAGGGTCCCCGAAAGAGGGTAAGAGTTACTGAAGCAAGGCTAAGCAAGGGGTCCCTCAAGGGTTCAGGGTTTAGGGTTCCCTTAAAGGCAAGGAGTTCGAAGCAACGAAAAAACCCGGAGAACATGGTAACCCCCCACCCTCAAGTCCTTGGCGGCTGCCAACTCCGAACGAAGCTGCTGCAGTTCCTCCGGGTCCACCTTCGGGGTACAGGTTCCGGTTTGCGGGTTTTGCGTTCAGGGATCTTTAGGGTTTAGCCCTTGAGGAGTTTAAGGCTTCTCGCAGAATTTTTTTGTTCAGGCGCTGTCAGGGTCTTCTAGAGCTTTTGAAGCGAGATTAGGCTCTTGGACCTGGCAAGTTGAACTCCAAGGCAAGTGGCGAATGCAGTGACGACGATGAGGAATATCATAGCGATGATGATGATGGTGATGATGATGATCATGATCATGATGATGATGATCATCATGATGAAGAAGAAGATCATGATGGTGCGCGTTAAGCTGAATAGCAATGCTGGTGCTACTCACTGTGTGTATGTTCATCTTTCAGTTCTTACAGGGGCAGTACCGTGCCTTCACGGCTTCATGTCTGCTGCTTGCTTGCACAGCACACTCTCCTTTTTTGGCGAGACAAGGGAAGTCGAAGCTTCACGTTAGTCACCTCCCCCTAAGATTGGAACCCCATTTTGCTCCACACAGCTCTCCAGCTACAGCATTTCTCAGCCTAACAACCTGTGAGTCACTTTGAGCATGTGGTGCTCAGCAAGGGTTTGATCTTAGAGGGATGGAATGTTAGGATTCATCATCCTGCCCAGGCCTGTTTCAGTTTCCTGGGGCAGGGCTCGAAAATACTGTCCAGCTGAGCCTGAAAGTGAGATGCTTACAGCTTCCATAACTCATCTCTAAAGCTCTCTTGGTGTCCACTGCTTGTTTTGAATCAGGCTCACCTGAACCTCATGTCTGTGGCATTCTGCACGCGGGAGCCCCACCCGGAAGACCGGAAAAGGTTGACGAGGACATTGCAAATAACGTGATGGTATCCGGCAGCCTTGGGCGGTTCTGCATAGAAGGCATCCTCGGTGTCGGAGTCCATGGCATGATACTCCACTCCAGGGATCCTGTCTGTGTCTGTATCACCTCTGTAAGGACTGTCCGGGCCCCGGTCTCCTACTCGAGGTAGCCGCCTGTCCTCGTCCCGGAAGGCCTCGGACTGCAGGCCACCTGCGTCCGCCTCTGCCGGGGAGGTCAAGCGCAACTGGGCCGCGAGGTTGCGGGCCAGCTCCTCGTCCCCTGCAAGCTCCTGCTGACGCCTCCGTCGCTCCTCGTCATCGCCATCGGCCCGCCCGGGAGGATACGCAAAGGAGGACGACGACTGCCCACCTCCGGAGCGGGCTGGAGGCGCGCGCTCGAAGGTTTCTAGGGGTACCGGCTCAGCCATGCTGTGGAGGCTGGGCCACCCACCCACAAGGACCAGCAGGCAGTCCCTCGATCTACAGCTCCTTGAACCAATGTTCCTTCACCAACCGCGGACTTTCGAGGAGTTGCTCAATAACTTGGCGCGTTGACTCCTTGAATTGGGGCCACTGAGTTACTAGTAGAAAATAAGTTACAAGATCTCGTAATGAATAATGACCCTGGCTCCAAGCGACCCTCAGCCCTCAGCCGAAACAGACCTACTGTGACTAAAGCATGGTTCTAAACAGCATAAATTTGAGTTCTTTTAAGTGTCGAATTGTAAGGGTTCTACATAAGGGTTTTGGGGTAAGGAACTGTTTCCGTAATTAAGGGTTTAAGGGATCTATAAGGGTTCTATACAAGGGTTTCGGGGTAAGGACCGAAGTATAGGTCTAAATCAGAGACCCTTGTGAGCAAGCCTCAAGCGTGAACAGCAAGTCCACACCCTTCTCAACCCTAAACCCGCGCAGAAATCCCCTCCCCGCACGACAAGGCTATCCCCCGCCCTCCCCCCCCCCAAAAAAAAAAAAACAAAAA